GGCTTTGCCATTGTGCTGTGCTGTTCAGTTTCTCCTATTTTTTTTTTTTTTTTTTTGGTGCTTCAACCCAGCCAGTCCTTGAGGGCCCAGATCCAACGATACCTTTGATGAAGTCCTTCCCACACAGCCCAGCCAGACGTAACCGCTTCCTCCTCGTGTTCCTGTTGGCTACTTGTACTTGTTATGACATTTTATCACTTCCCATCTTGTGTTCTTATAATTTGTATGCATGGCTCATCTCCACTTATTAAGTACAAACCCTCTCCAGGCTGGGGCTTGGCCTTATATAACTTTGCTTTTCCCAGCAGGACCAGTCCTGTGTTAGGGGAAATATTTGTTCAATAAAAGAGTGAATAAAAGCCAGCAGTAGGAACATTTCTGTCTTCCTGCTCTTCAGCACGGCCTCAGAGAGAGCTAGGTGATGTGTTCCGGGGTGAGAGAGAAGGGAGGAGTGAGCGAGCTACCATATTTATAGATGACTAATGCTTTCCAAAGGAAATGAAAGATTTAGTTATTACTACGCTGCGAAGCTTTATTTTCCCTCTTCGGGGGCCAGCCCTCCAATTTTGCAATCTGAAAAATAACAAAAAAGCAAGTGCCACATAGGAGGCCGTCTCCATGGTCTCGGGGGCTATTTTTAAGTCATTGTAACATGGTTTCAGCAGAGAAATGCTTCCCCGGGTCAGGGTTGTTGCCATTTTTTCAACTCATGTTGGTTTCCCACGCTCTCTCTGGCTGGGGACCATTTTCTTTACCTCATTCCTGCTATGCAGTTTCCCTATTTGAGCATCCAAACAGACACGCCTGACAGATGACCCTAAAATATCTCCACGGATATCCATAGTCTGTGGGACTTGTTGATGGCCATCTGTGGCCGCAAAGGCCCATGTGCCCCCAGAGTGTACGTAAGGGTGGAGGCAGCTGGCAGCAATGAGTCTGAGCTCCCCTGATGAGGGAACAGCCAGAGTGGGGGTGCTGTCAAACAGGAGGGCAGCGTAGAAGGCCTACACACAGGTATCTTTGCTCCATTCCAGCAAAAATGAGGCCTCCTGTCCAGAATGCTGATTTTGTACTTCCTTAACGATTCGTCGTTGTTGTTGTTTCATCACTAAATTGTGTCTGACTCTTACATGACCTCATGGACTGTAGCCCACCAGGCTCCTCTGTCCATGGGATTTCCCCAGCAAGAACACAGGAGCAGGTTGCCATTTCCTTCTCCAGCGGATCTTCCCGACCTAGGGGTCGAACCCGCGTCTCCTGCATTGGCAGGCAGATTGCTTACCAGTAAGCCACCTGGGAAGCCCCTCATTAATGATAAGAAAAACCAAATCCCAAATCACTTCAGCTCCCTGTCAGGGTCTACCCGCCTACATTCCTGCTGGTAATAGGGCTCCGTCCCTTCCCATCATTTGCTCCATTATTTCGCTGTAAGGGACAGTTTGAGCACAGACCTGAGAATGACTTCATGCAAGCTTTTAGATGCTAGAGATGATGATAAGATTGTTTGCATTCTCAACCCTCCAGCATTTAGTAGTGTATGTTTTACACAAACAATGTTAGTCCAGGTTCCTCTGTCCATGGGATTCTCCAGGCAAGAATTCTGGAGTGGGTTGCCATTCCCTTCCCCAGGGGATCTTCAAGACTCAGGGATCGAACCTGGGTGTCGATCAAACGTTGCAGGCAAATTCTTTACCATCTGAGCCACCAAGGAAGCCCCAAACAGGGAGTGAACAAATACCTGGCCATCTGAATACACTGAAAAGAGACCTGGATCTGAAAGTCCTTGATTTAAGTCTCGGCTTTGATTTTTCCTCGCCATGTGACCTTGGCCACGTCATTTAACCCACTGAGCCTTCCACCACCCACCGTCTCCGATTCTGTTTGCAGATTGATTGATATTGCCATCTGTAAGCCAATATCAGCTCTCTTGAGTTACTGCAAATGCCACAAACTGGCTTCCCTGTCTTGTTCCTCTTTAACGTCCACACTTTTCAGCCAGAATCATCTTTCTTCCACAAGTCACATTATTTTACTTGTCTGCGGAAACTTCACAGAGAAAACCCCCTCAGTTTAGAAGTCTGATCTCACCGATGTGAATTCTTGCTCTAATTCCTCCCTGTCTCCCAGTTCAGCCATGCCCTCAGCTCCTCCAGCCTTTCAGGTATGCTATTCCTTCTGCCTGAAGCTCCTTTCCACATCTCTGTTGACTTCTACTTATTCTTTGAGCCTCAGCTTAGACACCGCCTCCCTTGAGAAGCCAGTCCTTGACATTCCGCAGCACCCTGTGCTTACCGCTATTCGGGTCTCATCACCCTGTCTGACCGTCGTCTCTTTTCTTTCCTCTGTCTCAGGCAGTCCCTGAAGGCAGCCTTGTATCTTGTATATCTCTGTGTCCTCATACCTTTGCTCAATGCCTGGCACTGAGGGCTCAGTGCCTTCTCGTTACACCTCCTTTCTCCAACACCCACGTTCCCTGCATTGTCAGAGTACATGCCCCGGCAGCTATGAGCCAAACCCTCTTGGCCACTGCGTTTCATCTTTACGGGCATCACAGTTTTCTCCAAATAGGCTTAGGTGCTTTTTACCTCCTTGGTTTCTGAGGAGAAAGAGTGAGGGTAGATATGAGGACTGATGATCAACTCCCAAGTCCTTAGGCAGAAAAAAATTAATAGACCAAAAATGCTATCTTATATACAAAGTCTAAAAGTTACCCTTGGCAAGAAAGAATAAAATCAGCTGAAAGTCCACCAAAAAAAAAAAAAAAAAAACCAGTATGGAAATTCATGTGCTTAATCAATCAGCTACCATCCTGCTTCTTCTCAACACACACAAGAGAAAAAAGTGTATCTTTTATGCATATGCTTACCCGACCCCAGGTCCTAGATATTCTGTAGTTAGGGATTACTTTTTTTTTTCATTTATTTTTATTAGTTGGAGGCTAATTACTTTACACTATTGTAGTGGTTTTTCCCATATATTGATGTGAATCAGCCTTGGGATTTACATGTGTTCCCCATCCTGATCCCCCCTCCCACCTCCCTCACCATCACATTTCTCTGAGTCTTCCCAGTGCACCAGCCCTGAGCACTTGTCTCATGCATCCAACCTGGGCTGGTGATCTGTTTCACCCTTGGTAATATACATGTTTCGATGCTATTCTCTCAGATCATCCCATCCTCGCCTTCTCCCACAGAGTCCAAAAGGCTATTCTATACATCTGTCTCTTTTTCTGTCCTGCATATGGTTATCGTTACCATCTTTTAAAATTCCATATATATATGTTAGTATCCTGTATTGGTGTTTATCTTTCTGGCTTACTTCACTCTGTATAATGGGCTCCAGTTTCATCCATCTCATTAGAACTGATTCAAATGTATTCTTTTTAATGGCTGAGTAATATTCCATTGTGTATATGTACCACGGCTTTCTTTCTTTAGTTAAGCCAGAGTTGGAAAATACATAGCACATGTCCCACCACTCTCCAGTCACATACTATTGGCAGATATTGCTAGATGATAGCACAAGTGGGTTGCCATTCCCTTCTCCAGGGGCTCTTTCAGACTCAGGGATTGAACCTGGGTCTGCATCTCTGGATCCAGTTAGGGTCCCAGAATCCTCCTTGACACTGTGCTCCAGATCTCAGCTACCAGCAGGTCCCAAATTTATGCCTTACCCTCTCAAACTGTCCTTTGTGAAAAGGCAGGGGCCCGGGTTGGTGAACAGTGTCGGTCAGTGGAGAGCTGGGGTGGATGTATTGAGCAAGTGATGTCTTAGGGACAGGAGAAAGCTGAAGGGCTTTGCCCTCAGGGAATGAAGGCCGCAGAAGTATGGGAGGAAGCTGTCTTGCAAAAGGGAAGGGAAGGCTAGCGAGGAACCAGCACCTGCGTTCTGGGCACTGAGACAAAGGCTGGGGAAGCAGGTGCTGCTGGAGCCCCAGTCCTGTGGACTGTGTCCTCTTCCAGGCTTCTGTCTCTACGGGAGCACTGCCCTGGGCGAAGCTTTCCCCCAGTGGGGGTCGGGGAGTTAGCCAGATCGGCAGATGTGAGAGGCTTAGGTGAGACGAGGCTACAGTAGGAACACCAAGATTTACATCCAGTCTGCAGGTATTTTGCTTGGCACGCCCCTCCCAGTAGAGCCAGAGCTTGGCCGTGGGTGAGAAGGCTGTGCAATGGAAAGGGGCGTCCCCAGGTACCGAGTGTGTGGCCAAGCACCTTCCCTTGATTACAGACATTGGGCAAAACCTCTGAGAATTCGTGTCGCCAGGTGTTGAATGATGAAATCTAGGCCAGCTACTTAAATTATCTCCCAGGCCTCCAGCTAGGCTGTTCTGCAAGCCCCTGGGCAGTTGCCCAAATGCCCTCTTGGTGCTCGAGTGCCAGATGTTGATGCAAATAAGCCCATGGTGATCCAGGCAAGAGGGATGAACCACACCTTGGCTGCTCAACCTGTCAAATGACTTTTTAGATGGAATGTGTTTAGATGTCCTAGATCATTCAGCCATTCAAACATTTTAATTACAGATGGAACCAAAGATCAATGTTTTCCTAGGGAAAGTAACATGCATAGCTTTACAATGATGAATTCTTCATGAGGGGGTGGGAGAGCTCGAGACCTGCCGTGTGCGCATGCACGCATACCTGCATATTCTTGGCCGTGATGTTTCCCTGAGCAGCAAAAGCAAACAATAAGATTCGTTTCTTTTTTTCCTGCAAATTAAAAGATGGTGAAATCCCTGCTGTCTCAAGATAAAGGCACGCTTATAGAACAGTGTGCTGCTTCTGGAATATTCCTCAGAGTCTGGAATGACCAGTCCAAGTTGATTTTTCTCTCTGCCAGTCTTACCTGCTGACATAGGCGAGGCAAGCAGCGGCCAGCAGGGTGAGTCCTCTCTTCCTCAGCGGGTAGCAGTGTGGTCTGAGGATGACCTCGACTAGCGAGAANATATTCCTCAGAGTCTGGAATGACCAGTCCAAGTTGATTTTTCTCTCTGCCAGTCTTACCTGCTGACATAGGCGAGGCAAGCAGCGGCCAGCAGGGTGAGTCCTCTCTTCCTCAGCGGGTAGCAGTGTGGTCTGAGGATGACCTCGACTAGCGAGAACAGAAGGATGAACGTGTGCTGCAGGAGACAGCATGAGAGCTTGTCAAGTGAGGGCGCCCCCGCTGCCCCCAGCGCCCCCAGTTCTCTCTTCCCCTGCAGCCTCCCCTCCTACACAGACACCAGATGAAACTTTGCAGAACTTGGCTCGGCTCTGCTCCTTAGAGGCCAAGGGCTTACAGCGGGTCTCTACTGCCCACCACACTGATCCGGACTCTCTGTCTAGCTACCAAGGCTCTTTGTAACATGCGACCACCCTTCTGGTCTTGCATATCACCTGCTGCTCCGCTATCCTAACACACACACACACACACGGACATATGCAACACTCCGTCACGGACACAGGCTGTCTCCTTCCCTCTTTACACTCAGCGTGTCTGCTTCCCCTTCACACTCCTGTTCATGCCTCGACGGTCTGTGTGGAGCGTGTTCCCCACCCCCACCCCCAACCAGGTTCATCTCGTCCACGCTGTTCACAGCCAGCGCCGTCTTCCACGCCTGTCTCTGAATTTCCCTCTTGCTGGTTTCTCTCCCTGCTGCATTGACACCCCGTGCCGTGGAGTCTAGCGCTCTCGGCGCGCGTTCGTCGGCTCTGTCGGGAGAGGCCGAGAGGCCATCAGCCCGTCTCTGCCCGCCGCGGGGCACCGGGCTCCGTGGGACGGTCCTGCTGATGGTGCCGGGTGCTGGGCCAGGGGCGGGGAGAGGCTCCTCTGAAAGCTCTGTCCTCTCCCCGCGCCTTCCCTGCTTCACCTCCTTTATAACCATCTGTTTTCTCACATCTTTCAAACTCTTGAACACTAGGTTTTACTAAAGACATAATCGAGGATGAGTGGTGTTTTCTGGCACAAAGACTGCTGTGTCCCACTCCGCTCTGGCTTCTGGGAACTGACCTGGGAAAGGTGACTGGAGTCTATTGGCAACGTCCTTTCACATATTAAACATGTTTCTTCAGTTCCTCTGTGGTACTCCGTGCTTATTGGCAAACATCTCGCAGTGTTAATGTTATACACTTTTTACGTTTAGAGCGATCACCCCTCTTCCATCCCTGCTCCCCAGTTTCCTCAGCTCTTGGAAGCCTCTTGCATGGATAGATGCATCTGCCAGCTCTATCCGAGCCCCATGGCTGAGCCCCGAGATGGCCGTGTCAGCACCTTAATCACAGCAGTGGCCGGGGCTTAGGAATGTCACAGAGCCGCGTCACATGCTCCGGTGCCCGGCTGTGCTATTGTCCCTGTGATTGTCATCACCCCTGTTGATGGTGACCCAGTGTGGAGTGGGGTGAGTTCAAGGTTCTGGGATGTCCACAGCGCCAGATGTCCGACGGCAACCTTGCCTGTGGCCGGCGATCGGCTGGAGTGTGGTTGCGTCTCCACGGGTCCCTCCCCGACCCATAGCTGGTGTCCACGCTCCCAGCGATGGCCACCTCAGAGCCCTCGCAATACTCTGCGACCGACACTGATGCCCCTTTCACCCTCCAGCAGGCCAGAGATGGGGCTGCCTGCCTCCCCGCCCCGCCTTCACCCCGTCAGGAAGGTCCGACTTCTATTAGGAGCCATTAGCAGTCCCATTATGCTGGCCACTGATCTGACAGAGTTTATTATCCCTGCCCACAGTCAGAAGCTTCTGTTCTCTTCGTTAATGATCGCTTGGAACAGAATGCCTGTGCTGCAGTGCAGTGCGTTTGCATCGGGAGCAAATGAGTTCACAGTGATTAATGCTTTTGCGACAAATAACTCAGGAATGCATGAGTGGTTGCCTCTTCTAGGAGCCTGCCCTTTGCAACTGACATTCAATTGGATTTCCAAATGAGTTCTCCATGATGGCTTCTGGGAAGTTTGCTTCAGTGATGTCATTAGTGATGGGCCATATACTGTGGCTTAATACCAACTGAAAGGTCTTTAAAAGAATCACATTGTTTGGTCAGGGCTGGGGGGTAGGAATGAGGAAAAGAGGAAGATTGTATTCTGTGAGCTTTCTAAATATTGAACTACTGTGAAGAGTCAGGCGTGACGCCATAAACCTCCCGGTATTCCAGAGGTACTGGCATTTCACCTCACGTTGACATAAATTACATAACCTTTGTCAGGCAGCACATATTTTTGAAAAACAGGAGAAGAATTTAGTAAGAGAAAAATCAAATATGCTTTCTGCTTCCAAAAAATCTAATAATTAGGCTAGGATTGACACAAATTAGAATGCTGCCAAAAATTACTGAAAACAGTGACTCATTCTGTATTTCAATTAACAGTTTCTCAGTTTCCCTTATAAACAGTGAAGCTGACAAAAATTAATTATCTCAGAGGGGGTAAAATATTTCCTTCCAAAGTAAACAAAGCATCATGGTTGCTGAAACAATAGTATGCGTAAACAGAGGGGATGGGAGGAAGCTATCTTTCCTCGTCAACTGAGCTATCATTTTGGTCGATTTTTCTTTAAATACCTCATTCCAAGAGCATTGGTTAAAAGGCAAGTGTTGTTCTTTTTTTTCATCTTCTTCTACTAAGTTACACCTTTCCTCCTATCCTTTGTGTGATACCTACTTCCATCTGAACATCTTGGAGACAGAACTATAAGCATGAAAGACTGATTTAATTATTTATATAATAATTGCACTTCAGATTCCGTGGTTGCAAAGTAGCCTTGCAGATAAGTGCTCAAATTTGCCAGCCTATAGAGAATTCCTATAAGGTTATATGAATGGCAACATGGAAAGTAATGAGCACTTATTTTTACTAACTTCATAGCAGTAGACAAGTAGCTGCTCTAAATTGCTTCTCTGTGTCTGAGGCTCAAATTAAAACAGGATACATTTGCCTGACTACTGAGAAAGACACAAGTCTCGATCACTCAGATAACCCACGGAGGCGACAAATCTCCTTCCTTTGGAAGGCTAGGATAGCCAGACTCCTATCTCCAAGATTCTTGGAGGTCCAAGAGCACTTAATTGTTTTCAGCGAAAGAAACTTAGAGAGCCAAGACTTTTTAAAAATCAGACAATACCATTTTAAAGTAAGTTCTCTGCCTCCTTCCTCTCTTTCATTTCCTTATGACATCAGCTCTTAGGTAGAGTTGACCAATATAAATATGTCAGCCTCCACCTTCTCAGACTGGTCATTGAGAGGCTTTTCCCTCCATGTGCTGTTTCTAGTCCTGAGCTGATGCAACATTGCCCAGTTCACATTTGCTTCAATCTTCTCCCTCCTTCCTCTCTGTTCAGCAGCACTTGGATCTGAGAATTAGTTCCTTCTATTGGCTCTCCCCAATCTGAGGTTCTTTCTCTCAAGTCTTTAAGCTCACGTCTTTGGTTTGTTTTTCATACTAATGGATAGACGTTTAAAATGAAGTTTTAGTGCACCAGTAAGATTTTACTTCTGGGTACATACACAAGAATATTTTTGCTTACTGCATATTAAATATATTATTTTTAAAATGTGTTTCAAAATGGAAGCCTTCACAAAATCTCCTCAGGGCAAACACATGGTCAAAACATCAATTAAAACTTAAACATAAATAAAACAATAGACATGAAAATGGAGGCAAAACAAATCTTAATAGAACACCATTGTACCCAGGCTTGTTATTACAACGGCAGATCATGTTCCTTAAGCTTGAAAACTACACACAGTGAAAAACACACAGTCAATGGTTGCTTTGTGAACCTTAGTAAGGCAACCTCTGGTTTTGATAATATCCATTTGCCAGCTAAAAAACTTGACCTCACTCCTCACCAGCTTCCCTCACTGCAGTTTCTGCCTCTAGATCCCACAGTTTGGGACGGGGTGATGGTCTTTCTGGGAATATTTCATATCCAAAAGCAGAGACCACCTGTATTCTCTGTGGCCCTTATGTTACTAAAGGTGCAGTTTTGCTGCAAGAATGGTCATCTAGGTATGTAGACACAGGTTATATTCCTTATTTATCTTAGGGACTTTTTTCACTCTTCCACCAGGAATCTTTTCCATCTCAAATATGAGAGCTTATGGAAGATAACTGGATTTGTAAAAATTCCCTTTTCTACTTTCTAGGAATCCAGGTGCACAGATGAGGCACTACTGTAACTAAAGAGTCAGTGCTCGGCTATGAGGGACTGGGAAGATAAGCCACCCACGGAGAGAGTTAGATGCTTCCCTTTGATCTTAAGTCTACCGCGGTGGGCTGACTCAGCCCAGTCAGGTTAAAATTCAGAGAACACAAGTTAAAAAACAATGGTTTTATTTATTGCAGAAGAGTAGTAATGTTTGCGATTTACTCTGATTGGGGACAGCAGAGGACGAGATGGTTGGATGGCATCACCGACTCAATGAACATGGATTTGGGTGGACTCCGGGAGTTGGGGATGGACAGGGAGGCCTGGCATGCTGCGGTTCATGGGGTCGCAGAATTGGACACGACTGAGCGACTGAACTGAACTGAACTGCACCAAAAATAAGATGAGTTGATGGATAGATAGATACATAGATTTATCACAAAGCAAATACAGTAAACTAATCAGTCCATCCTAAAGGAGATCAGTCCTAGGTGTTCATTGGAAGGATTGATGCTGAAGTTGAAACTCCAATACTTTGGTCACCTCATGTGAAGAGTTGACTCATTGGAAGAGACCCTGATGCTGGGAGGGATTGGGGACAGGAGGAGACGGGGACGACAGAGGATGAGATGGCTGGATGGTATCACTGACTCAATGGACATGGGTTTGGGTGGTCTCCGGGAGTTGGTGATGGACAGGGAGGCCTGGCATGCTGCGGTTCACGGGGTCTAAAAGAGTCAGACAGGATAGAGCGACTAAACTGAACTGATTAATAGCAGGACCTAACGGGCAGGTTACAGGTGTTCTCTATAAAATTTTTTCAGCTGTGCTTTATGTTTAAAAATATTCCTAATAAAATGTTGGGAGAGATGTGAATAGTGTTACTGACCTGGAAAGAGAAATGAATGCTCCATTGGGCTGAGGAAGAAAAAACATGCCATTATTTATGAACTTGTATGTGACTTGAGCAGGTGGTTAAATGATAACTTTCTGA